GTCATCCCGTGGTGCCCTTTTAAAACTCAACGTTTAACCTACTCACGCCGGCTTGTGTCCGCCCTCACAGTCGGGCATATTTGCGGAATACACCACGCCGCCGTTGACCCTGGCCATTGACCGAGCAACCCAACGTTCCTAGCAGCTCCCTCCGCAGGAATGTGTTTTTTTCAGGAGGGTCCCGCTAATATTTCGCGGTAGAGGGCGATGTTGCTCAGTGTAACTCGTTGGTGCTCGACTTGCACGTGAAACTTATGGTAGAATGAGTTGAAAGCTCAATAACAAATTGGCCCCAATATCCCCCCCCCCCTCCAAACAAAACTGTCGTAACAGAGACCTGAAACTCCGTAACGCTTCGATAAAAGTGCGTCATTGTTCTCATTGCTAGTGCACACCTCAAATGCCCTTATCAGTGCCCCACCTTATTACAGACCAACTCACACCCTATGGGTCACCCCGTGTTCCTTATCAATCTCAATGTTCATCCTACAAAGTCCCATCGCAAGGGAGAAACACAAATACATTTTTTGCCCGTGTTGAAACAGCCTGAAAACTCAATTTCCCTGTACAAGAATACGGGGTAATACCGTATGGGTTGACAGGTTTGCACTACCCAGTGTCTCACTACCCAGTGTCTCACTACCCAGTGTCTCACTACCAGTGTCTCACTACCCAGTGTCTCACTACCCAGTGTCTCACTACCCAGTGTCTCTATACCCAGTGTCTCACTACCCAGTGTCTCACTACCCAGTGTCTCTCTACCCAGTGTCTCACTACCCAGTGTCTCAACACCCAGTGTCTCACTACCCAGTGTCTCTATACCCAGTGTCTCACTACCCAGTGTCTCTCTACCCAGTGTCTAACTACCCAGTGTCTCAACACCCAGTGTCTCACTACCCAGTGTCTCTCTACCCAGTGTCTCATTACCCAGTGTCTCACTACCCAGTGTCTCTCTACCCAGTGTCTCACTACCAGTGTCTCTCTATCCAGTGTCTCACCACCCAGTGTCTCACTACCCAGTGTCTCTCTACCCAGTGTCTCACTACCAGTGTCTCTCTATCCAGTGTCTCACCACCCAGTGTCTCACTACCCAGTGTCTCACCACCTAGTGTCTCACTACCCAGTGTCTCTCTACCAGTGTCTCACACCCAGTGTCTCACTACCCAGTGTCTCACTACCAGTGTCTCACTACCCAGTGTCTCACCACCCAGTGTCTCACCACCCAGTGTCTCACTACCCAGTGTCTCACTACCCAGTGTCTCACTACCAGTGTCTCTCTATCCAGTGTCTCACCACCCAGTGTCTCACTACCCAGTGTCTCTCTACCAGTGTCTCACACCCAGTGTCTCTCTACCCAGTGTCTCACTACCCAGTGTCTCACTACCAGTGTCCTCACTACCCAGTGTCTCACCACCCAGTGTCTCACTACCCAGTGTCTCTCTACCAGTGTCTCACACCCAGTGTCTCTCTACCCAGTGTCTCACTACCCAGTGTCTCACTACCCAGTGTCTCTCTACCCAGTGTCTCACTACCCAGTGTCTCAACACCCAGTGTCTCACTACCCAGTGTCTCTATACCCAGTGTCTCACTACCCAGTGTCTCTCTACCCAGTGTCTAACTACCCAGTGTCTCAACACCCAGTGTCTCACTACCCAGTGTCTCTCTACCCAGTGTCTCATTACCCAGTGTCTCACTACCCAGTGTCTCTCTACCCAGTGTCTCACTACCAGTGTCTCTCTATCCAGTGTCTCACCACCCAGTGTCTCACTACCCAGTGTCTCTCTACCCAGTGTCTCACTACCAGTGTCTCTCTATCCAGTGTCTCACCACCCAGTGTCTCACTACCCAGTGTCTCACCACCTAGTGTCTCACTACCCAGTGTCTCTCTACCAGTGTCTCACACCCAGTGTCTCACTACCCAGTGTCTCACTACCAGTGTCTCACTACCCAGTGTCTCACCACCCAGTGTCTCACCACCCAGTGTCTCACTACCCAGTGTCTCACTACCAGTGTCTCTCTATCCAGTGTCTCACCACCCAGTGTCTCACTACCCAGTGTCTCACCACCCAGTGTCTCACTACCCAGTGTCTCTCTACCAGTGTCTCACAGCCAGTGTCTCTCTACCCAGTGTCTCACTACCCAGTGTCTCACTACCCAGTGTCTCTCTACCCAGTGTCTCACTACCCAGTGTCTCAACACCCAGTGTCTCACTACCCAGTGTCTCTATACCCAGTGTCTCACTACCCAGTGTCTCTCTACCCAGTGTCTAACTACCCAGTGTCTCAACACCCAGTGTCTCACTACCCAGTGTCTCTCTACCCAGTGTCTCATTACCCAGTGTCTCACTACCCAGTGTCTCTCTACCCAGTGTCTCACTACCCAGTGTCTCACTGCCCAGTGTCTTACCACCCAGTGTCTCACTACCCAGTGTCTCACCACCCAGTGTCTCACTACCCAGTGTCTCACTACCAGTGTCTCACTACCCAGTGTCTCACCACCCAGTGTCACACCACCCAGTGTCTCACTACCCAGTGTCTCACTACCCAGTGTCTCTCTACCAGTGTCTCACTACCCAGTGTCTCTCTACCCAGTGTCTCACTACCCAGTGTCTCACTACCCAGTGTCTCACCACCCAGTGTCTCACTACCCAGTGTCTCTCTACCCAGTGTCTCACTACCCAGTGTCTCAACACCCAGTGTCTCACTACCCAGTGGCTCTATACCCAGTGTCTCACTACCCAGTGTCTCTCTACCCAGTGTCTCACTACCCAGTGTCTCAACACCAAGTGTCTCACTACCCAGTGTCTCTCTACCCAGTGTCTCACTACCCAGTGTATCACCACCCAGTGTCTCACTACCCAGTGTCTCACTATCCAGTGTCTCACCACCCAGTGTCTTACTACCCAGTGTCTCTCTACCCAGTGTCTCACTACCCAGTGTCTCACTACCATATCAACTCAGACCTTATTGGTCACCTGGTCAAATACATATAAATAATTTGTCGTTTAGTAAAAGATTCCAATTGCATTAGTACATCAATTCTCAAGCCTGGGAAAGGCAGTAAAACAACAGCAAAAACAGACACAGACCACACCAAGACAACATCGAGTAAAATTGTACATTGAAATATAACTATCGCTACATGATAATCTTGGTTCTTTCTATAAAGTCACGTATAAAGGAAACAATAAAATAATAAAAATATAAAACAACACAATTCTTACGACGTTTCGATTGCAACACAAGCAATCATCATCAGGTGTGAAACCCACAGCAAGACAATTTGAAAAAAGTGGCGTTTTTTTTCTTCTTAAAGTTAGCACCACGGACAGCGATTTAAAATCAAAATATATCGCTACATTGTTAAGAATGAAAAAAAACTATAGTTTAGTTAACAAAAACATTCTGTCGATCAGGACGTGGGTAGCGATCTGCGATTGTATTGAGTGTGGGGGAAGGGGGGTCTGGGAGTCTCTGAGTGGGAGGAGTGGGAACGCATGAAGCCGGATCTTGCCACGTGCTGTGCTCACCGCACTCAACGCTTCGCGTGGACAACAACAAACGGAGAAGACACGCGGAGAGACGGAGAGCCCCCAGCTTGATATCACCACGACACACACAGCACACACGCACACAGCACACACAGCACACAGCACACAGGGCCCCTTACCTAGGGCGGAGGAGAGCGATGACCACCACCACCACCACACAGCACAATCGCCACGACTCTCCGCTGTCAATTCGCGAGGCATCCTCAGACGACGCTGCACGGCTCGTGCGGCGTTATCAGTGAGCAGCGCTCCCTGCCACCACTGCACGAGACCAGGGGGCTGATCAGCGAGTTGCACGGATCGGCACGGGGATATTGACGAGGCACGGACCACAGCGGAGACCCCGGGGCTCTCAGCTACCTCTGAGTTACTCAACTACCCGGGGCTCTCAACTACCTGAGTTACTCGACTGCATCTGAAACTCAACTACCTGAGTTACTCAACTATCTGAGTTACTCAACTGCCTGGGCTACTCAACTACATCTGAAACTCAACTACCTGAGTTACTCAACTGCCTGGGCTACTCAACTACATCTGAAACTCAACTATCTGAGTTACTCAACTGCCTGGGCTACTCAACTACATCTGAAACTCAACTATCTGAGTTACTCAACTGCCTGGGCTACTCAACTACATCTGAACTCAACTACCTGAGTTACTCAACTGCCTGGGCTACTCAACTACATCTGAAACTCAACTATCTGAGTTACTCAACTGCCTGGGCTACTCAACTACATCTGAAACTCAACTATCTGAGTTACTCAACTGCCTGGGCTACTCAACTACATCTGAAACTCAACTATCTGAGTTACTCAACTGCCTGGGCTACTCAACTACATCTGAAACTCAACTACCTGAGTTACTCAACTGCCTGGGCTACTCAACTACATCTGAAACTCAACTATCTGAGTTACTCAACTGCCTGGGCTACTCAACTACATCTGAAACTCAACTATCTGAGTTACTCAACTGCCTGGGCTACTCAACTATATCTGAAACTCAACTACCTGAGTTACTCAACTGCCTGGGCTACTCAACTACATCTGAAACTCAACTATCTGAGTTACTCAACTGCCTGGGCTACTCAACTACATCTGAAACTCAACTATCTGAGTTACTCAACTGCCTGGGCTACTCAACTACATCTGAAACTCAACTATCTGAGTTACTCAACTGCCTGGGCTACTCAACTATATCTGAAACTCAACTACCTGAGTTACTCAACTGCCTGGGCTACTCAACTACATCTGAAACTCAACTACCTGAGTTACTCAACTGCCTGGGCTACTCAACTACATCTGAAACTCAACTATCTGAGTTACTCAACTGCCTGGGCTACTCAACTACATCTGAAACTCAACTATCTGAGTTACTCAACTGCCTGGGCTACTCAACTATATCTGAAACTCAACTACCTGAGTTACTCAACTGCCTGGGCTACTCAACTACATCTGAAACTCAACTACCTGAGTTACTCAACTGCCTGGGCTACTCAACTACATCTGAAACTCAACTATCTGAGTTACTCAACTGCCTGGGCTACTCAACTACATCTGAAACTCAACTATCTGAGTTACTCAACTGCCTGGGCTACTCAACTATATCTGAAACTCAACTACCTGAGTTACTCAACTGCCTGGGCTACTCAACTACATCTGAAACTCAACTATCTGAGTTACTCAACTGCCTGGGCTACTCAACTATATCTGAAACTCAACTACCTGAGTTACTCAACTGCCTGGGCTACTCAACTACATCTGAAACTCAACTACCTGAGTTACTCAACTGCCTGGGCTACTCAACTACATCTGAAACTCAACTACCTGAGTTACTCAACTACCTGAGCTACTCAACTGCCTGAGTTACTCAACTGCCCGGGCTACAGCTCCCAGAGTTTCGCACCCGTCGGATTTGGACAGCTGAGAGTTGGACACCGTCACTGCGGTGAGTGACTCACTTCACACCTCACACTCCACACGGCGTTGTTACACACACAGCGATGTGTCGCTGCTGCTGCAGCGATGGGCTACCGCTACCGCTGTGTTTCACCGCTGCAGTGAGGGGTTACTGCTGCAGCGAGGGGTCACGAGGGGTCACCGCTGCAGTGAAGTCACCGCTGCAGTGAGGGGTCACCGCTGCAGTGACGTCATCGCTGTAGCGAGGGGTCACTGCTGCAGTGAGGGGTCACGAGGGGTCACCGCTGCAGTGAAGTCACCGCTGCAGTGAGGGGTCACCGCTGCAGTGACGTCATCGTTGTAGCGAGGGGTCACTGCTGCAGCGAGGGGTCACGAGGGGTCACCGCTGCAGTGACGTCACCGCTGCAGTGAGGGGTCACCGCTGCAGTGACGTCATCGCTGTAGCGAGGGGTCACTGCTGCAGCGAGGGGTCACGAGGGGTCACCGCTGCAGTGAAGTCACCGCTGCAGTGAGGGGTCACCGCTGCAGTGACGTCATCGCTGTAGCGAGGGGTCACTGCTGCAGCGAGGGGTCACGAGGGGTCACCGCTGCAGTGACGTCACCGCTGCAGATATGATTCACTGCAGCGCATTTTTACGCCGAACTGTGATACACGACCGGTATCAGTGAGCGATGTCTAAAACCCGGTTCCTGGGCCTCCTTAAGGTTGACTCGGCCTTAAACGAGTTCACGCGCTGCCTGTGCGGCTGTGTAAACGTGCGCACTGGGGAGAGACAAAGGCGGCCTCTGCTGGCCAATCGACACCCACCCCCCCACCCCCTCGTGTATTGTACCGGCCTCAGTACCAAGTTCGCTTAGTGCGGCATTCGCTTAGAGCAGCCCGACCCCAAACAGTCTGTGCGCATATTCTCTGGCTCTTTCGGTAAAGTCACGCAGACTTTACCTAAATAACCAGATAGAATGGTAGACTTGAAGCTTTCGTGACTGCAAGGAATCATATTCTTAGGTGTTTTCGGTAAAGTCACGTAGGTAAAACATCAAAATTAATAAAAAATAATAAAATAAAATAAAAAACGTCGTGATCTTTATTTTATTTTATTATTTTTATTAATTTTGATGTTTTACCTACGTGACTTTACCGAAAACACCTAAGAATACAGATAGAATGGATTCCTGCGGTCACGAAAGCTTCGAATCAAGTTCTGTGAGCAGGCGAACACGTGGGTGGGTGGGGGGGTGTAAGATCTTCCGTCTTTGTGCAGAGTGCAGGATGGGAGAGTTCTCGGACCGCATGTACAAGCTGATGTTCATGGGCGACGCGAGCGTGGGCAAGACCAGCCTCATGATGCGACTTTGCCGCAACGAGTTCCGTGCCACCATGAGCTCCACGCTGGGTGACGATTCAATGACTCCCCCCCCCTCCCCCCCGGTTCAAAATATGATGTCTCTGTACTGCAGGAGGAATCCGAAGAGTTATACAGCTTTTTTTGTGATTGTGTGTGTAAGTGTGTGTGTGTGTGACTGTGTGTGTGTAAGTGTGTGTGTGTGACTGTGTGTGTGTAAGTGTGTGTGTTTGACTGTGTGTGTGTGACTGTGTGTGTGTGACTGTGTGTGTGTCTGTGTGTGTCTGTGACTGACTGTGTGTGTGTGTGTCTGTGTGTGTGTCTGTGTGTGACTGTGTGTGTGACTGTGTGACTGTGTGTGTGACTGTGTGTGTGTGTGTCACTGTGTGTGTCACTGTGTGTGTGACGCAGGGGTGGATACTCACGTGAAGACGTTGACTATCAACGAGAGGCAGCTGACTCTGCAGTTGTGGGACACCGCTGGGCAAGAACGGTGAGCGCCCTGCCAGTCGGCGAGATTCGCGCGCATGGCAATTCAGAAAGAGAAAAAACCACCGCTAATTATTAACATGGCATTGTACGTACAGCGGTTTTTTTTATATATAACATGTGAATAATTAGCAGAAAAATTATCAGCGTATATATGTGATTAGCAGCGTGTTTGGAAAAGCATGTGAATAATTATCGTATATATAAAGCCATGTGACTAATTAGTGGCATATATATACTACCACGTGTATGTGTGTATTTATATCTGGTGATATATACACACACGTGTGTATGTTATGGATTGAACAGAGTTTGAAGAGGGCTTCAAGACCACGTAAACAAAGTCAGAGAGGCTTGACCAAGAGCACGGCTCTCGTCTCCTGGCAGTGGCTGTGTCACCGTGGAGAGTCCGGGAGTGAGTGGGAGAGAGTGGGAGAGAGTGGGAGGGTGGGAGTGAGTGGGAGAGAGTGGGAGAGAGTGGGAGGGTGGGAGTGAGTGGGAGAGTGTGGAAGGGAATGGGAAGGATGGGAGAGTGGGAGAGAATGGGAGAGTGTCGGAGTGAGTGGGAGAGTGTGGGAGAGAGAGTGTGGGAGAGTGTGGGAGAGAGTGGGAGAGAGTGAGAGAGAGTGGGAGGGTGTGGGAGAGAGAGTGTGAGAGAGTGGGGAAGAGTGGGAGAGTGGGAGGGTGGAAGAGAGTGGGAGAGAGTGGGAGAGTGTGGGAGAGAGAGAGTGAGAGAGAGAAAGAGTGGGAGAGAGTGGGAGAGTGTGGGAGAGAGAGAGTGAGAGAGAGAAAGAGTGGGAGAGAGTGGGAGGGAGAGTGGGAGAGAGAGTGGGAGAGAGAGAGTGGGAGGGCAGTGGAGAATCAGAAAGTGTGCTCACCACGCTGCTGTTGTTGACATCGAGTGGCTGTCACGAGGAGCTACCGTGAGGCTTTCTCCTCGCTACCAGACGATTTGATTAAGTCTGTACGTGCGTACGTGTGTACGTTGAACGTCTTTCGCACCGTACGTAGCCAAACGTGCAAATCGGAGGCGCGGGGGAAGTTTTGGCTGCGTCGTCGGGTGGCGGAGGGTTTCTCGACACAAATTTGGCCCGATAATTACGTGGCCTGACCGCCCAAAAATGGAATCTCGCGTCGTGGTGGTCACCGCTCAACCCCGAGGGAGGGTTGCCATCTCTGACTGAAGCTATTCGGGGGGTGTGTGGGTAGGGGGGGGTGTTAATTTATCTTATTAAAATATCTTGGATCAAAATCTCCCCGATTGCTTTCAGTGGCCACCGGTGTGAGATCGATCGATCGATGCCAATTCCGCGGAGTAAGAGACTCCCGGCCAATGCTGCCGGGAGGAGAGTTGGCAACCCACCACCACCGCCACCACCGCCACCACCACCACCGCCACCACCGCCACCACCACCATCGCCACCACCACCACCATCGCTACCGCCGCCACCACCGCCACCGCCGCTACCACCACCACCACCACCATCGCCGCCGCCACCACCATCGCTACCACCGCCGCCGCCACCGCCGCCACCACCACCACCGCCGCCGCCGCCGCCACCACCACCGCCACCACCACCGCCACCGCCGCCGCCGCCGCCACCGCCGCCACCGCCACCACCACCACCGCCACCACCACCACCGCCGCCACCGCCGCCGCCGCCACCACCACCGCCACCACCACCGCCACCGCCGCCGCCGCCGCCACCGCCGCCACCGCCGCCACCACCACCGCCACCACCACCGCCACCGCCGCCGCCGCCACCGCCACCACCACCACCGCCACCACCATCACCACCACCACAAAGCTTGGTGGTGCGCGGTTGTTGAGGTCTTCGCTGACCACCGCGACGCGTTCCCCCGTCCCGCAGGTTCCGCAGCATCGCCCAGACGTACTTCCGCAGGGCCGACGGAGTCCTGCTCGTGTTCGACTGCACCCACGAGGGGTCCTTCCTCAACGTGCGAGAGTGGCTGCTCGCCGTGGAGGTACGAAAACCCCGCGGCGCCGTTCCTAAAATCACGCGGCGACTTTCTCCTCCCGGCCTCCGCTGGCTCCCAATCCCTCGCTCGCCTCTAAAAATTATGATTTTTTTTTACAACTCTTTGGTTTAGTAATAGATTTTTACCCTTTCAACTGGTACAAAACTGACACCATTATAAAATTTAACACGTAGGCTGTCGCGACCAATATTATTCATAATCAGCGTTTGTATCGGCGATAATTAACAAAAACACACTGCGTTCATACGCACCGAACATGGCCAGACCTGCCGTATCATTGTCAATGTTTCGGCTTGTTTACCCAGGAGGGTCCTGCAAAGTTGTTTTGGTGTGAGGGCCAACATTTCCCTCTGCATAATCCCAACTGAGCAAATTCGAAGCTCAAATTTTTTTTTTTAGTAAAATTTTGGACAATTTGGAGCGCGACGCGGACACGCAACGGTCCTCCTCCCCTAGCGCAATCACGTCGCGGGGCGTGTGAATATCTCCTTGGCGTCCACCACGAGGCGGGCGTACCGTCACGGCCGATACACGCCGCGGCATCGACCTGCGGGAGGCCTACATTTCGATTTAAAGCTTTCGTGACTGCGGGGATTCATCTTGAGTTCACTGGCAATGTGTTCCTGGTCGGAGATGCATTGGGCTCTATGGTGTAGAGTCTTGATGAGGGAATTCTTCTGGGATGGATGGTGGTGGGAATCCGGTTTTAGGTAAGCATCCGTATGGGTGGCTTTCCTGTAGACAGAGTGGCTCATTGAACCATCAGGGGTACCCCAGTAAGCTGCGGGAGACCGCTTGAGTCGAAGCGGACGAACCTCCGCGGACGAGCGGAGCGACGGAGCAACGTGCCGATTGTGGTCATCCTCAGGACGCTGCTGGGCGGAAGCTGCCCACCGTGCTGGTGGGGAACAAAATCGACATGCGCGACACGTGCGTCAAGTACGGCAAGAAGTGCGTCATGCCGGAGGACGGGAAACGCCTGGCCAAGGTACGGACGGAGAGCTTCTCTCGCGCCGTACGTGGGCGGACGCACTAGTCGGAGGCGCGCGGGGGAAGGAAAAACTGAACGCAGAAAGCGGCTACAAAGATTCTAGATGTGAGGCTTTCGTGACTGCAAGGATTCATACTCGTTGTTTCGGTAAAGTCGCGTAGGTAAAAATAAATAATTATAAAAATAATAGAAACAAAATTATTTGTAATAATAATTTTATTTATATTTTTATTATTACATTTTTACAACATTTTTTTATTATAAAATAATTTATAATAATTTTATTTCTATGATTATTTCTATTATTTTTATTTTTATTATTTATTTTTACCTACGTGACTTTACCGAAAAAACCTAAGAGTACGGCTCCAAAGAAATGAGTTTTCCATCGAGATGATTATTTAGATGTGCTTAGCTCAAGTGTACTCCTGATATCGGAGAGGGAGAGCATTCCAGACGGCCCCAGAAGACCACCTGAAAGTGTGCAATAATCATAATGATTCGCATGTACAATGCGAATTCCATCCTAGAATCCCAATGTGCAATGCATGGAAAGCAGGAAACAAAAACAGAGCCAGGGGGCAACCGACCAAACTAGAGAAAAAAGGCCACTTGTAAGAGATGCGTTGTCAAAGCTGACTTGTATATGTATCTACCGACACCGATTGCCCCGATTTCAAGTGGCGAGGCGTTCCGTAGCCTGCCTGGGTGCCACGCGGACAAAAGGCCGATCGCCAAAATGAGCGCAACCTGTAGACCTTGGAGTGCTGAGCAGTTGGAGATCAGAATATCTTAAGGACCTTGATGGATTATCTTCTTGGTTCTTTCGGTAAAGTCACGTAGAGGGAAATAATAAAATAAAACATTATAAAATAATTATCTTTCGGTAAAGTCACGTAGAAGGGAAATAATAAAATAATAAAAATAAAACATTTTTATTTTATTATGTTTTATTTTATTAAAGAACCAAGAAGATGAATCCCTGCAGTCACGAAAGCTTTAAATCGAAATTGATGGATTATGTCAATGTATTAGTTCCCGCAAGCAATGTAGGGTGAGTCATTTTAAAGCACCTGGGGGGGGGGGGGGGGGGCAGATGTTTGTGACGATGTGTGACGAGTGGGGGGGGGGGAGAAATGTGACGTCACATCAAAATGCACAACTTTAAATGAATATAGACAACACGTTCTACTTAATTAAATATACTTGGTAATAAATGTTTTCTCCTACAACATCAGAGCGCAGCGCCACATTAAATACGCACTACAATGACAATAGTTTAAAGCGATTTGAAGCATTTAAATTTCGATTTAAAGCTTTCATGACTGCAGGGATTCATATTCTTGGTTCTTTCGGTATTATAATTTATTGTTTTGCTTCTACGTGACTTTACCGAAAGAACCAAGAATACGATTTGAAGCATGTTTTTTTTTTTTGGGGGGGGGGGGGCAGAGCTTTGTGACGTCATATTTGAGGGGGGGGGTCTGACTTTTTGTGACGCCGTGTGACGAGGGGGGGGGGGGTAAAAAATCGTCCAAAATCGCGTGACGTCATTTATGGACGGCCCCTTATAGGTGCGATACAGTGACCGTACACAAATTCGTGTTCTGGCAGGTGCCATTATAGCTTAGCCGTCGCATATCGGGAAAGTTCCACCATTGTCCGTACCATTGACCGTCTTCGTTCGAGCGATCAACCGATCGCGAAGCTCACGGGAGGGCGACAATCCCTCAATTTATCTGCTGCCCAAACTCTGCGGGCCCCGGGAACGTTGCACGAGTCGTCCCAAGCTCATCGTTAAGTCGGCAGGGAAACTTCGCTCGCATTTCACGTCGTCCTTGAATGTTGACATTTTGGGACGGTAGCCACTCCGATATATTCCTAGGTTTTTTCGGTAAAGTCACGTAGGTAAAAAATTAAAATTAATAAAAGTTAAATACAAATAAGACGGAAGCTTGTGCTGCCTCCGAAACGTCGTGATTTTTATTTTATTTTTATTTTACTTTTATTAATTTGAATTTTTTACCTACGTGACTTTACCGAAAAAACCTAGGAATATGAATTCTTGCAGTCACGAAAGCTTCAAATCTAGAACCACTCCGATATGTTGAATAGTTTTGTTCTGTAACTTGATTGTAGTCGTACTACGATTGCTTGAAGTTCACCGACTTGCCTCTACAGGGAATGTATTCGGGATAAAACCCACGACATCCTGTGTACCAGGCGTGGTAGTTCAGATTTCGCCACCGTGGAGCCTGATGATTCTACGACTGTGAAATTGTGTCCGCAGGAATACAATGCGATCTACATCGAGACGAGTGCAAAGCAGGGCACGAATGTCCAAGACGCGGTGGAGTTGCTTGCCAAGTGAGGATTACGCCTTCTGATACGAACAAGATGTGCATAACATCAACAGAAACACATTCCTGCGGAGGGAGCTGGTAGGAACGTTGGGTTGCTCGGTCAATGGCCAGGGTCAACGGCGGCGTGGCGTATTCCGCAAATATGTCCGACTGAGGGGGCGGGCACAAGCCAGCGTGAGTAGGTTAAACGTTGAGTTTTATAAGGGCACCACGGGGTGACCAGCCCCTCCCCACCCAGTCCCACCCCTCCCACCCAGCCCCACCCTCCCCTGGAGAGACAAAGGCGGTCGAGCGTGACGCTGGTCACCCACTCCCCTCGTATACCGTTCCGACCAACAGTCTGTTAAGGCTATCAGGGGGATCTTTGTCTTTGGTGTGCTGCATGTGTGGTGTGCCGCGTGTGTGATGACACTGCTGCTGCGCGTGTGATGATGCTACGTGACGTGATGCCACGTGGTGTGATGACGCTGCTGTGTGTGATGATGCTACGTGACGTGATGCCACGTGGGTGATGACGCTGCTGCGTGTGTAATGATGCTACGTGACATGATGTCACGTGTGTGATGATAATGCTGCTGCGTGAGTGATGATTCTACGTGGTGTGATGCCACGTGTGTGATGACGCTGCTGCGTGAGTGATGATTCTACGTGACGCGACGCCACGTGGTGTGATGACGCTGCTGCTGTGGTGTGATGATTCTACGTGACGTGACGCCACGTGGTGTGATGACGCTGCTGCTGCGCGTGACGCTGCTCAGGCAGGTGCTGGCTGCGGACATCGCGGAGACGAAGGCGATGACTCTGCAGCTCGGAGGCGACGTCTCCGTCGACGGAGCCACTGACCGCTCCGGCTCCTGCTGCATGGCGGCGCCGTCCTCCACGTGAACACGTGGGTGTGGCAGACCACGTGCTCACCACGCGCGCACGTGACGAGCACGTGCTCGCCAAACACGCGTCGAACGCGCGCGTGCCCTGGCGTCTACGAGGGGGCGGTCACGGCACATGGCGCGCGTGAATCGACGCAACAACGCAGGCGCATCTCCCACTCTCCCACTCCGGCTATCACGGCCTGGGGGGGAGGAGGGGAGCGGTGGACAGGAGGCGACACAAGACCACGTGGCCCACGTGACCCACACTCCCTTCGCATCGGCCCGTCTGTGACGTCTCCAACAGACGCGACAGATTCGTCAATTACACCGCCATCCCCCCCTCCGTACCCAGCAAATTAAATAAATGTTAGGTGAGGTTTCGGCCAATGAGCCTTCTTAATTTAACTGCCACGCCAGCGTGTTTCACACACTATACTATTCCTTTTTTTTTATATAAAGTAAGCAAAGATACGTATACGATTTTACGGAAGTCGCGCGTACATTTATATGCCGTTCATAGTTGTAACGTGGGTGTTAGGCAAAGCAGAAATGTGTGTATTTATGAAATAGAACCAATAGAACCTCATTCAGTCTTAACTGATAATAAAATAAAACATCACGACCAAATGGTCGCAAGTCGTCGTCATCGTCTCTTTTGATGTTTATTTTTTTAAGCTGTATTTTTCACAATAAATAATTCATTTCGTTTGTATCAGATCGCCGCGGAGGTATAACGTCATCGTTTCCACCATCACCGCGCACCACCATCACAGAACCACGTGTTCATTGCAAGTATAAGCGCTGCGTACGATGACTGAAGAAAAATGTAGCCGGCTCCGTTGGGTGTTGGGAGAGTAAAACTGCGGCATTCTACCTACACGACAATCTTACGCAAAATAAACTGACTACGAATTGTAAATGTTGGGTCGCGAAAGCCTACAAGCGTTGAAAATAAAAGTGAAATCCCCCAATTGCGTGAAGCTCTCAAGCGCCGCATGTCCGTCCCCCTCTCCCTGCGGTTGTTGTGAAACCATCGGCGGCTTTGCACCGGGCTTGCACGCGCTTACCACGATACAAATTTAAAAAAAATCACTTTTCGATTTAAAGCTTTCGTGACTGCAGGGATTCATCTTCTCGGTTCTTTCGGTAAAGTCACGTAGAAGGGAAATAATAAAATAATAAAAATAAAACGATTGCAAAGACAGGCACGCGGTGAGCCAGTGACAATCCCCCCTGCTCCCCCAAGCTCTGTGGTTCTCTATATATGAAGGTGTTCCATGTGGGAGAAAACCGGAGCAACCGAAGAAAACCAACGCGTGTGAGGGGGCAACACTCGATCCCGTACAAAAGGGGGACAGGTGATATTCATCAGCACTTTGCTGTCCCACCTTCTCCTGGCGAGCCAGAGTATGGCACCTTCTGTGACGCCCAACGGGAAGGGGGCTTCACAGCATCTGTGTGATTCACCAATACTCGATGCCTCCAGTGTTGAATTACAGGCTACGTGCATAGCCACCACCAGTGTTGTGTCGGTGGACCTGTTCACGAATATTGACTCCACAGGTTTAGTGATTCAAAGAGAACTCTCGTCTCCGTTTGAACCTCCAAACTCTATTAATAAAGACGCCTGCAGTATTGCACATTGCACACCGCAGCAGACAAAATGCATTAACGCCGTTTAAAGCGGCAGTCGCCTATCACTGGATCGCGATCCAAGCGACGGATCGCAAAAGATGTTCTGGGAACTTCAGCGCAAATCGGAACAAAAACAAAATCATAAAAGCAGCACACAATTCGCATTTTGGCTGATGGAAAAGCTACAAATCCCGGACTAAGAATAAATTTTACAAAAAGCATTAACTTGTACCAATAGACGGCTCTGGTACCTTACAGGTGTAGAGGAGTAAAATGGGGACGTGACGTCAGGTGTGCCGTTCAGTGCGATGACGTCACGTCTCCTAGGGCACTTAAGGGAGACCCCGTGATGTAAGCGGGGCCACTGTGGAAGCAGGTAGAGTAAGCAGGGTGAAGAGGGAACCAGGGGTAGAGAGAGGGATCGAGTGGTGAGTCTGGGGAGAAGCCGGTGGTAGCCGTAGAGGTGCTTCTCTCTCCGCTCGGTGGAGTTGGCAGAATCCACGATCCGACACGAGAGAGAAACCGGAGCTAGCCGGCAGGGACCCGGACTCAGAGTAGGACCCCTAGCCCCTGGGAGTTGTGTACCCTGCTGTGTAATATTGTAACAGCTTTAATAAACCCTGGCGGAAGCCCTTAACTTACCTGCGTCTCCGGAACTTCTCTACACAGGGATTAAATCCCGGTGGTTGGTCTGAGCCTTCTCCGTGGATCACAGCGCTTGGCGTGTTTGCCACTGCTGCTTTAATTTCTTTAAAGAAGCAATTTTAAATGTCGAGGTTTAAATAAAATCCGTCGCGAAAATACAGCCTTGTAGCTCACATCCACACAGAGTCGGCATGTCTTTTAAAACAAATGTGGGATATTTTATTGTGTAAACTTAAAGGGATTGGCTAATACTTTATGCGCATTGTTTCCCTGCACGACAATTTAACCCAACGTTTCAATAACTTTCTCTCGCACACTTTGAATGCGTCTCCAACGATAACATTAGTGTAAAAATCATCAAATCCAGAAAAAAAAGTGGGGCTTCGAACAGGTGAGCTGTAAAAACTTGTCTCAAGTATGAGCGCCACGTGGACGGCTAAAGCTTGGTGTGATTAACACACTGAGTGTAGGCGACTTTGAAAACCCACTTTTAACACATTTCACCATTAGGTTCCAAGAATGTGATTCGCATACATGTCAGACCACTCTGTATGGCACCCTATAGTGTTCAGTACCAGTGTCGTTTCCCTGGAAACAAATCGGAAAACTTCCAAGACGATTAAACATTTGGGGTCAACCAACTCATCCGTCCCAAATTCCACCGTGTTAGCAACGGATCATGCCAGCCGGACTTTTCGGGCTTAAAGCGGAGTGTTTCATCGGAATGATAGTTCAATGTTATCAATCGTCACCGCGGATCGATCTTAATGTTGACCATTTGTGGGCAGAGTGAGTGCCAACGACTCAAAGTCCCAAAGCACTGTGGTACGCCGCACCGATCGGCAGTCCAGGAATAACCGACCATTAAAAAAAAACGTTCAAAGTAACACAGTGCAAAGGGAAAAATAAAAACAATGCCAACTTGTAACGCAGTATTCACTTACTCTGGAAGAGAGAGAGAGAACGACTCGGAGACACCAGCACGAACCGCGGAGTGGGAAGGGCAGCAGCAGCAGCCAGCGCCACATTCCCATCCGAGCTCTGCAGTCCTCTACATACGAAGGTCTTATCGACAAATTAATGAGCGTTTACGGGTGGAAGAAGACCGCAGCACCCGGAGAAAATCCACGCATGGCGAGGAGGCAACACAAGATCCGTACCAAACGGACAGATGATATTCATCACGGACGGAACGGGTGGAGTCCACGTTTGCCGTACAGCCCCTTCTCCCGGTGAGCCGGGGTATGGCACCACCTCGATGTCCACATGGAGGGGCCGTTTCACGCCATCCGACTGTCCGCCAAACCCTCGCTACCTCCACGGTGATGGGTTACAGGTCACGTGCGTGTCCACCATTGGCTGTGACGCAACCACGTGTGGTTGTTGGAGCAAGCAGCGAGTATGGCGGGCGACTGACAAGTAAGCAAGCGTTTAGGAGACTTTCACAGCCGTTGGAATGTGTGGGAGTTCAAGTCCGGGTTGAGGATTCAGTTCATCCCTTCAGGGTGAACATCAGTTTGTGGGACATTTTTTGACAAGTGGTTATCCCGCGGATCGACTCGACCCGTCGTAGGAATGTGGAGTGTCCACCACCAGATTTGTAAACTTGAGCAGGAAACCACTTTTGACATTTGATGACTTTGCGCGGTTCATTTAAATACAACTATAGCGTTAAAAACAGATATTGTGCATAAACATTTTGATTATAAGCAGACGACTGCACGGAAAAATCTCAAGATTACCCAAACGGGATGCACACGACGCCATTTGAGGTAACAAACACATTGCATTGTTGGAAAGGAAATAGAAAAGAACGATATTGGAAAGCAACGTCTCTTCTGCTGGTCCCTACGATTTGAAACATTGTTCTATAAAGTAATATAGATACATACTGCACTGTGCGCAAGCAACCACATGAGCGTGAATGCCAAGACCCCCCGTGTTCAGCATCCCGATAATGGCGGCGGAGGGCAAGTTAGGATTTGTTCACCCATCGGCGACATTTTTAGAAAGCTCGCAGAGACCTATTATCATCATTATTCACTCACATTCTCCCTTCAGATCGGGGTCACAAATCGGCGAGGGTAGACCACCTCGCATTGTAGTCCGCGTACGAGCGTTATGTACCTCTTTGGAGCTACGACACTATCACCGCACTCCTGTAAAAAACAAAACAAAAGCGAACGTGCCGTAGAAAACGTAGCCGAAACGCGTTGGGGTTGTTGTGACGTGGGACAGCGCTTTGGGCCGCTTGTGCCCCTGGCTCAGATGCGATGGCGATCAACCAGCACGTCCACGTACTGGCTGGTGGCTCGGGCGACGGGGTCTCGCTCCCAAGGGTCGCCAGCCGCCCCCAGCGGAGAGAATCGTTGGGATGCCCCGTCCAGCTCTGCATGGGCTGCAACACACAACGACGGCGGTGATGATGATGTTGATGCCATGGTCTGTGCAGTTGGCTGCAATTTAGGAGTCGTGGCCATACGCTTGTGTGAGGTCGGGTCTTTCCCGCGGTGTTTCAACTATCGTGACCTCGCAGAGGTACGACTGCTCTACGCCCATCTACACGCGGTTGGCAGAGTGACATCACACTCCTGAGCCCCCGTCCGCACTCCCCGAATATTATCAGACTGTATTATTTTTATAAAGTTTTGCTGGCTGGCCGGCTGGCTGGCTGGCACGCGGGAAGGCAATGCTCGGTGATTACGTGACCACGCATATCCGCGTGATGACATCACCCGCATCCCACAGCGTGGAGTCGAGTAGTTCGAGCGTCTAACACCATCCACCGTCCAACCCGGCAGTGTATCCCACGCAAATTCGTGGGCAGAGCTAGTCAGTGTATCAAATAACAGCGCGCAGATAGTCCATCAAAAGCTGTATAGTTCTCAAGAATGTTATAAAAATGCGCTACCATTGTTTACACTTGTCCAGTAGTTCCATATGGAGTCACCTGACCGCCATGTGGTTGTTTGCTCCATTCTCAAACTACCACACCGGTTAACGTGGACTCGGTGAAGTTCTCTGACTTCGATAGTGTGATATACTCGGTTACCATTATCACGTAAAAAAAAAAAAAGGCACAGGACGATGTCAAAATAAACAGTTTATGCAATTGCTTGCTCCTACCTTGGCACAACTCTCGAGAAATGATTCTGTCCATCTCCTGCTGCATCTGGAACACAGGACAGATGCCACGTCGCTCAAGTGGACTATTCACCGGGGGGGGGGGGGGGGACATCGTGGCAGTAGAGACCTTTTAATCGGCACGGTGGCGCGGCACGAGGAGGAGCGGCGTTGGCAGAGATTCGCGGCTCAAAATCCGGCAGGCCACCCTGGTTCTTTCTCCGGGTGCATTCGCCGTGCAAAAGATGCGCCGTCCGCTTCACCGGTGCACTGACGTCATTTCAAACGAATGCGTCGGCATCACGGTCCTAGTTGGTCAAATTCCCCCCAAAAAAATCCCCGCAAATTGCTCATTTGGGATTATACGCAGCCAGGTGCCCAGCCACCTTGTGCAGTGCAGGGACAGCTGCCTCCGGGGGTGCCCATTTGAAATGTCTTGAGATGAGATGTGACGCAAGTCGCTTATCGTGTGCAAAGCAACGCAATGCCACGGCGTGAAGGAGGACGGGGTGGGGTGGCCCCCAAAAACAAATCATTATCATTATTAACGCAGATATAATCACGATGGGACTTAATCTGACAAATGAAAAGCGAGACGCTGTGGAGACTACCTCCCCCCACTTGAAACATCGCAGCGGTGAATTCCTACAGTCGTGCGTGCACTGTACCCACAGAATGGGGAGCGGTAGTGCGGCGCAGCGCTGAGCGCGCTGCACTACGAACCTGGCAACTCGGGTTCGATTCCCATTCACGGCCATCACCAGTGACGAATATTTTAACCGTTCCTGGGCCTCCCCTAAGCCGACTCAGCCTCACGAGTACCTGGTGCGGTGTGTTAACATCGCCACTTGGGAGACAAAGGCAGTCGGGCGTGGTACTCCCCCTCGTGTACTGTTCCGGCCTTCACAGGTGCTCGCTAACAGCACTCGCCCCAACAGTCTGTTAAAGGCTGCACGGGTGAACTTTGTCTGTGTTTGTACCCACAGGGTAGGTGTACACCCGGCTTCTGGGCACTCACCTTGGTGTGGTAGGCATGCTTGAAAGTCCCAGAGTTCTGGCTGTCTGCGGGGTGCGAGAGGAGGCTCTGAGAGAGGCCAGGAGAGCGGCCGTGAGGTTGGTGGTAGAGGCCCTGAGGTTGGTGAAGGAGGCCCTGAGGTTGACGGAGGCCGGTGGTGGCAATGGGCAGCAGCGTGGCGAGCGCCGTGTTGTCCAGCAGGCGACCGCTCATCAGCTGAGAGCTTCTCTGCCGCTCGCTCCCCAGCTGCGCGCTCATGTCTGCCAGCCTCTCGTTCGCACTGCGGCACACACGGAACTCGGGTGAATGCGGCGCGCGGCTTTTAACGTCCGAGCGAGGGGTTGACTTTAAAAAAAAAATGTCAAGTAGAGATCATGCATGCAAATTATTCAGTTCCTTGAAAAGGTTAAATTGACAAAAAAATATCAGACTCCACCTCTCTTACCCAGGTGACTTGCGCTAAATGGAATTTATGATTTCAAAAATTATTTAGGTTTTGGCAATATTTTGATTTCTCACGCGGCACTGTCGCCGTGATTTATACTTGCTTCGTTGCCGCACTTAATTTGTATCGCTTTGTCGTCTTGGCAAACCCGGGTAGACTCGTGCAAATGAAGCGCCATGAGACCATTTCCCCTCAACTTACCGGTGGGCTCAAACAATAACAAGCGCCGCACGTCAAACGCTCGCAGACGTGACAATCTAATTGTTTGGCGGAGGAAAGCGGAGGGTTATGAGCATTAAAATTTGGCCAAATCACGACATGGCCTAACCCCCAAGAAATCAACGATGAATCCGGGCTGCTTTGTACTCTCATACCAAAATCGTACCGACGTTCACGCGAGCCGTGCGTCTCTCTCACCTCTCGAGCTTGGCAGAGAGGGCCTTCCTGCAGCTGAGCTCTTCTTGGTAGAGGCTGGTGTAGCGCTTCAACTCGGCCTGCAATTGCTCCGTCACCCTTTGGCTCTCCTCGGCGTTGCTCCTCAGCCTCTCCACCTCCGCCTCCACCTCCTGCAGCTTCTGCTCCATCAGCCGCTTCAGGTGCAACTCATTCATCGACCTCAGGCCCTCCAACGTCTCCTGGGACACCGCCTGGCTCTGCAAGTCGGCCAGGCCGACGAGGGGTCGTTACGATTCGTGCGCCGGACTTCAACGTGCGCTCTCGACATCCCTTACAGATTTCTTGCTTTCAGATGCGCTTCTGCGGCCGTCTGGAACGCTCTTCCTTCCGATATTAGGAAGCCACTGGAGCTACGCACTTTTATATCTAGACTGTTACGAATTTCTTTAAAACTGCTTTTTGCATTTAGTTTATTATCCTTCCCCCTGGCACGGTTGGCTACGTACGGTGCGATAGAAGTTCAACGGACATTACATACAACACATTCGGCAATAACACTGTGGCCTGAAAAGAGAAAAAAGATATACAGTAGAACCCCTCTGAACGACGGTAAATGGTTCCTATAAACCGATCGTTAAGTGATTTGGTCATTAAGCGAGTATAGGAAATACACTTTAAAGGCTTAATTCGTTCCAATAGCATCGAAAGTTACCCCCTTTTTCACCACAAAAACGTACTTTATAATATTTAAACAAGCGATATTAATACATACAGATACTAACAACATTACGAACACATAATATTAACAGAAACACGGTTAATCAATGCATAAATTGACATTTGCTGAACCTACAACAGGGGAATGGTCGCTGAGCGAACACATTGTTATCAAAAAAGTTCGCGTTGGCGAACAAATTGGCGGTGTGAGGCTGCAGATGCGCGCGGAGGAGGCCGCCCGAGTGCGCACCTGCAGGAACGCGTTGACCTCCTGCAGCTTTCGTCGCGAGCTCCGTCCGGGCCAGCTCGTGCAGCTCCCGCTTGTGACGCTCCAGCTCCGCCTGCGTCGCCACGCTGCCGCTCAGCTGCTGCTTCTGTAGCGGAGACATCGGCTGGCGTCAGCGTCCGGTGAGGTGGGGGGGAGCGGGGGGGGGGGGGAGTTTCAAGGGAAGCCGCGGGGCGGCGTCGAACTGATACCAGATTACGGATGGTGACGGATGGTGACGGACGCCTGAAAAGTTCACATCAGGAACCACAGAGGAGGGGCTGCCGATTGCCTGGCACAATCTCCAATTGAATTGCTTTATCACGAGGTGGTGCTACACCATAGTTTGCTTCTCTTCCGCCCCCCCTATACCGAAGCTGCCACACGGCACCAGCTGACTCACTTCAAGCTACGTCAACTGAGAGCAGGACTAGGCCAGGTTCAGACACCGATTGCATCCAGCGGAGTAATAACGGGGAGAATTGGTTTTCAGACGAAGCCTCTAATATGCAATGGGATCCCATCACAAAGACTGCAATGCCATCACAAGTAACTTTGTGAACGATTTCCATTGCTCTTGAAATACGAACTCGGTTTGAATAAACATCATAAGACGTTGATTCGGATATCTTGCATCAAATTATTTATTCTCTCAATAAAGGGCACCATTACCTTGATTACGTCCACGTCAGAACAAAAGGAATCGGTTTACGGGCGAGTAAAAAGCCAGGACCACCCCCCCCCCACCCAAACTGCCCCCCACGTTTGAAAACCGCACGTCGTCCGCTCCGCAGTTGACGTTAAAAAGATCCCGCGGCGTAATCGGAAGAAGGGGAGGGCGCCACTTGTGTTGCCGGGCGTCGCAAGTCCAATGTTTATTAACATTTTTAACCAAATGTAAATAAAAAATACTCGCAAGTTATTTATCGTGTAAGAACAGAGGAATCGTCACCACCTCCTGCGAAGAAACTTAGCGGGACGCCCCCGAGTAAGAGTCTTGTGTTGTACTGTATGTATGTTGAACTTCGAAACAAATATCACCGAAACAGGAGGAGGATTTCTCCACAATTCTGGCTGTCGCCTGATGATGCTGGTTGTAATTATCCAACACACGCCGGTTAGTGCTGTCCTAGTAATAAATTGGCACGTTTTGTACACGTGATAAAACCTTACTAATTGTCTGTGGCGGGTGGTGAAGGGTTTAACGAAACATTTATATTTATGCGATCTAACCAACAAAAAACCTCTACTATGGATGCTGAACTTCTTCCGCACCGTACGTAGCCACCGTACTCAACGGAGGTAAACAAACGTTCAGTCATGAATAACGTCGCAAGTAACTTCACGTGTAAAAACACAGCCAACGTCACCACCTCCTGCGAAAACCTAGCAGGACGCCCCTGACAACGAGCCTCGTACGTACGTAGCCAACCGTGCTGATCGGAGGGAGGTAAGGCGAACGTAAATTCGCGCTAACAACGTCCGCGACAGAGGGGCACCGGCGGGCACCTGAAGGTGGCGCTTGCTGCGTCGTAGCTGCTCCTCCAGCTCGCGGTTGCTGCGCTGCAAACTCTGAGCCGTGTCCTGGGCGGCCTGCAGCTGCCTCGTCAGCTCCCTCCAGCCTCTGCTCGTCGCGCAAAGCAAAGCCGGCAGCGTCGCCGAAACAGCACGCCGCAAAACTCACCCATTCTCTTGCCTCTGCACTGGCTAGCAGTGGAGCATCGAGCGGACTATGAGGTCCTGATGCTGACCTACGAGGCTAGCGCAATGGGTCGGCCACGCAATATTCGCAGGAGCTGATGCATTGCTTATGCTATAACTAAACTATTAACTCTTTTTTATCTTAGCAGGTAAGGCCCACTGAGCTGTGTAGCTCTTTTTCAGAAGCGACCCCGGCCACAATGATGGCTCAACAATGTGGCTTATCGCGTGGGAAAATGTATAGCAGCCAAATACTCCAAATGCATGTTTCTAAACGTAGATAGTAAAAACGGAGGACCGGAGGAAAAACCCCATGCGACCAAGGGGAGGACACATTCCAACTCCAATATACAGCAGCAGGAGTCAGGGTCGTCGGGATCGAACCCAGACCTCCTGCGTACATAGGCGGGGAGTTCACATCTCGCCACCGCGGCGCCGTCAACCGCTTCAGAACATCAACAGGCCGACGTGCACATCTCCTCCTCCGTAAATAGAAAATTAAAGATCCAAGCCCACGGGAGTACAAGACGGTGGCCACAGTTTAAACCGCCGGTGACTCCGAGGCAGAGGAGGAGGAGGAACGTTAACGCCAGGAGGGTGCGATGTCTGGGTCTCGAATACGGGCGTGTTTATCCTGGAAGTCTGCTGTGAACGATGCAACGTGATGAAAGGAAAGCGGCTCTTTCTCTCTCTCCCCCTCCCCGCCACGCACCTTTTCCTGCGCGTGTCTGCCGGGGTCATCAGCCTGCAGGAGGAACCTGTCGCCCTCACTCCGCGACAGCCTCGCCTGCTCGCGCTCCTTCTTCAGCGCCTTCATCTGCAATTTCATCCTGCGCCCCAACACACGCGCCGCTGTTACCAACACGGCCGGGCACACGGCACGGCGCACGGGGATCTCGTGCGCCACAAAACCTGCGGTCCCCAACCCCTCGGCGCCCGTGGCGACAGCCGTCAACCCTCCTGATCGCGGGCTAAAGCTCGAGGAAAGCGACCTTGCGTTTCGTGAAAGGGAATCGGCTTCTGCGATGGTTCCCGCGGGTCCACTTGCGGAGCCTCCCACCAGCGTTCCCGCAGGGCGCAGCTTGGGAAAGACTGAGCTCACGCACCGTTTAAAACGACAGCGGGTCCGTGAAGCAATACATACGGTTAATTTACACAGGTCTGCGGCAAGATTTTCTGACGCTTTTTTGTATTTGTTTTTTTAAGCACTGTTTATTCTTTGCGATACGTTTTGGCGTGGGTTTCGTGTAAATTGTGTTTTTTACTTTGGTTGGTTTGCACATCCCCTTCCCTGCGATGTCCTGCTACTGCCGCCACTGCCGACCGCCGTAAGCTGTGGTCTACAAGTCTCAATATAGATCTATGACTCTCTACGAATGTAACGCTGTGCACCTCCTACTTTATTTCTATTATTACTTCTATTAATTTTATTTTTTTTTTTACCTACGTGACTTTACCGAGGGAGCCTGGGAGTGTGGATCCTTGCAGTCACGAAAGCTTCAAATCTAGAATTAATCTAAGTTGTCTTGTGGTTGTTGTTGTTTGACTTGCATCCCACTGGGATTTTTGCACACAGCGTTGGTGTGCGGTGCTTTTTCTGCA